AACTTCTGCCGTGAGAGCAGTGGGCGTGTCTTGCCCTGACAAGCACAGCTTGTGATCGTCCCCGAAGCAAACCCACCATGCACCATACACCTCGCATGCGTTCTCCCCTCACATGAAGCTAGACTCCAAATCTTCTAATTACTGCAGGAATATCCGCTTCTAAGAGCGAACGGCGGCCAACGGCTTGCGACAACAGCCCGGCATGAGACTCACAAAAATGAAGAAATTGACGATCGGCGACGGGCCGCCGTTGCTCCGCAACAGCAGCTTGGCTGCTTGCAACCCCCCACAGCACAGGAGAAATCATCAGGAGGCCACAAACCCCACGTGCATACGCACCGGTGGTTCGCAAGGAACCTCATCGCTGTGGCCGCGCGGACACCCAGTCCGTCCGCCTGTTTTGAATTCTGAAGGCATGGCCAAACACGATGGACAGCCAAAAGATTCATTCAAGCAGCACAAAATGAGCAGGCTTTGACTGTTCGCCGCCCCGCGGTGACTCGACAGGACTGCCTCACGCCGCAGCTGCCGCTCAGTGCTCGAGTGTGGGAAGGGCGGGGCAGCTCTGCCGGCTTCGGCAGATTCGACCCACGGGCTGCGCAGCTGCCAACCCCATTCCTTTCATTGCAACATAGTCTCCACTGGCGGCCGCCAACGCACCCTCAAAGCCAACTCACACGGTCAACCGCTCTACGCACCAAGTCCCGCACACCACCTGCTGCCTTGGTACCTCTCTGTTGACATCGTCCCGCCTCCTCGCATGACCGTCGATCTGGGTGACGCGCCCTCTGTGCCTCTGCTTCTTCACATGACTTCCCTTGTCAGAGACCTGAACATTGTGGTATGCGGCGTCGGAGCGGAAGGTGAGCGTTGGGAACTCACCTTTCTCAGCTCAAGGTTGTCCAGAGCGAGGGAGCCCTGCAGGAAGCGGCGCAGCAAGCCACTCACAGTCCACAGCTCTGCAGCTGTGCTGCTTGACGCTCACACCTGGGCCTCCCTTCTCACTTTCCCTGTGTACCGACCACCTGCGCGAAACAGCCCAAGCCGCTGCCGGCCTGCTGGCGGCCCAGGGCCACTCGGTCCACTTTCTTCTCAGCCTCAGCTACGCTGCCCGAGGAGCTGAGCTCGCCGATGCTCTCGCAGTGGCCGGCGGCGCGATCCACGTCACGTCGACTTCAGGCGCGTCGGCACGCGGCCTCGTGGCCGGCGTCAACGCGGACGCGGCGGCTGTCGTGCCGGGAGCTGATGCCATCATAATCTCGCTGCCCGGCCCAGCCGTTGCCCCCATGCTCGCGGAGCTGGCGCCCCACCTCGCGGCTCACCAGCTCGTGCTGCTGCTCAGGGGCATGGGGCCGGCCAACTACATGGCATTCTCAAAGGCGGCTGAGGCTGCGCAGGGCCCTGGCACGCCGCTGCCCTTCTTTGCGGCCACCAAGGCGCTCCCTTGGGACTGCTGCGCCCTTTCCCCTGGGTGCGTGGTGGTGAGCGGCGGCCCGATGGCGCGTGCCGTGCCGGTCGCGGCCGCGCCCGGCGCGCCGGCGGCGGCGCGGGCGGCGCTGCCGCAGCTGCTTGGCGGGCTGTTTCCTGGTACTGTCTTCGAGCTGCACGACACACCACTGGACACTGTTCTGGGGATTGCATACGGCCTGGAGCTGAACGCTTTGGTGGTGAGTGCTATAGATGCTTAAAGACATGCGCGCCTGGGACAAACCACACCGCGGGCGCAAGCAGCCAACGGACAGACACGGCCCCTTCCTGCGGGCGCGGTCGCCTTGCGTCATAGGGCACCCGCGAGCATCAGCAGCGCAGCGGCCGCAAAGGAGGCAGAGGGCCATGATTTGCAGCAAGCTGTTTGCAGTCTTCATCATCGGCCCCCAATCCCTTCTGGACCAACCCTGTTCTGTTCGCGCCACCCTTGAACAGCGCCCCGCCATCATGTACGGCACCTGGGCAGAATGGGACGGCTCGCCGCTCGCGGCCCCGCCGCGCTTCTACCGCGATGCGTCCCCCGCAGCCGCCGCCGCGGTCGACGGCCTCGCCGCCGACGCGCGCGCGGTCGTCTCCGCGCTCTGCGGTGCCCTGCGCGTCCCCATGCCCAAGGGCATCGCAGCGGGCCCGCGCGCCGTGCTCGCCGTGACGTGTCGCGGCCAGATCGCCGACACCAGCACCACGCTCTCCGCACTGCGCACCAACGCCGCCCTCGAACGCGTGGAGCACCCCATGTGCGCGGCCGCCGGCGGAGGGTGGCTGCCCGACTTCTCGTCGGCGCCGCTGTCCGAGGATCTCCCCTGCGGCCTGGTGCCTGTGCGCGGCGTCGCAGAGATCCTGGGCGTGGAGACGCCGTGGCTGGACCGCGTGATCGGCTGGGCACAGCGCGTGACGGGGCGCGAGTGGCTGGTTGGCGGCCGGCTCGCGGGGCGCGACGTCGCATGGAGCGACGCGCCGCAGCGCTTTGGCGCGCGCACGCTGCAGGCGCTCCTGGTGGCGGCCCCTGCGGCGGCTGCGAAGGTGGTGCAGCCTTTGCCGGCGGGCGGGACGGTGTCGGGCGCGCTCCAAGGGCCGGTTCCCCCGTGCTCGTCTCCCTTTGCGGGGATCTCAATTGTCCCCAGCCGAGCCTAAAGCCTGCGCAGCCCGGGTCCCTGCTGACCTCCACCCGGGCACGCCTTGAGCACCAGTCAACTGCGCGCTCCAGACCCGGTTTTCACCCCACCCGTGGTCGCTTCTTGCAACAATGACAGCAGGTGGCGCGTCAAATTACATCTGGCCTTGGGGCTTGAGGCGCCGCAGCCTGCTCGGCACACTTCATCACAGCAATTTTGCATCATTTTGAGCTCCAAGCCCTGGTTTTGCTCCTCACATCATAACCGGCCCTCTATGGCTTTCCAATCAATGACCGGCTCAGCAACGCACGCCTTGAAACATCACAGGCAGCCTCACCGCACACATGCGATGCCGCCCTGCACAAGGGCGCGCATATGGCAGGATGGTGATTTGATTGTTCCAGCAGTTTTCAAACGGTTGCTCCCCCCTCTACGTCGCACGTGTGCGTACACCGACGTGGGGACCTCAACGCACTGTCCCCTCCGGCTCAACCCCTCAACCTCCCACGCATGGTTGTGGTGCGTCACTCATTACGTAGTGTGGTGCGTTACTCATGATTGTGGTGCTACCACCGCAGCAGGCCACATCTGGTAGTGGACATGTTCTCACGTACAATGTATTTCACCAAAGCTGCATGCATGCAGTGAGGAGCACGCGGTTACCCTCTGGGTGACTGGAGGAGCCCACCACCACACCGTGGACACCCACACGGCAAATCTGGCATGCAGCGGACCGCACAAAGCAAGTGGGGTATCCCTGCCCGCCCGCATCCATCTCACCGGAACTCATCAAAACATACAACCGGATTTTTTTACTGATAAGGATATTTTTTTGTCAACCAACTCCCGCGCCCTCTTGTTGCGCACGCAGCCGGGAAATGGGTGCTGGTCAAAACCTGCAGTCAATTTGGGTCTGCAGGCAGGGTGACCAGGCTGCGTGGCATGGCAGTCACCTGGGGCATCTTGAAGATGGATCTCGTGCGCAGTACACTGACCTATTGGTGGTCGCAGCTCGGTCGGGCCCGTACTGCCACATGCTGCTGCACCACAGCAGTCACCAGAGCAGCACGAGGGGTCAGGGTGGGTATCGCCCAGTGACGCCCAGTGCTGTTGCAGCTTGCTGAGTGTGTAAAGCGTCGAAGTTCTGAAAAGGTGGATCTGCCTCTGCCACTTAGGATACTGTACTGCGATACGGTCGGGGTGCAAACACGAGATCAGCATGTTGGGTTCGCGAGGGTCGTGCCTGCCTGGGCAGGCGCGCCCTGCTCTGCTGCCTGTCACACGAGGAGGAGTCTTACCCCGAGTCACTAGCAGAACACAGTGGTGGACAGGCAGCGGGCTCCAGCCCCAGCGCCTGGCTAAGCTGCTGGTAGCAGTCCCGCTTTCCTCAAGAGCCATATCACGGGGTCAGGTGGGTCGGCATGCGCACATTGACGCACAAAGAGTACAATCCTTGCCTGCGCTGCTCGTTTGCACAGGTTTGGCCGTGCTGACTTTGCATGCGCGCCAGCAGTGGCCTAATAACGCCGCCTTGCTCCCTCTCCCCCTCCCTGCACCCATGGTTCCAGCGCCTTTGTCCGCGCGCAAGCCTAGGCTACACTCGCATATCGAACGCTGTGACTCGCCTCGAGGGCGGGTGCAGCAGCGCCAGCGACGGCGCGGCAGGTGGCGGCGGCGGCGGCAGTGGCGGCGTTGAGCTGCTGGTTGTGGGCGCTGCACCCCTGGCCGGTGGCTGGGCCGACTGTGATTCTCTTGAGCAGCTGCTACGCGAGAAGCATCCGTCCTTCCTGGTCGTGGAGGGCGCCCCCGGCGGCGACCCCGGCAGCAGGGCCCCGTCCCCGCCGCAGCAGCCAGGCACGCCCGGGGCGGCGGGCGGCGCGCGCCTGGCGCAGCTGCGGGGACTCGCGGCCGCCGTGGGCGCGCGCGTGGTGCTCGCGCCGTCGCCGGACAGCGCGTCGCTGCTGCAGCAGCTGGTGGCGCAGGGGCGGCTGGAGGCCGGGCAGGTGGAGCGTGCTGCGGCTGCGGCAGCTGCGGGGCTAGACGAGCTCGGGCAGCTGCTGCTGAGTCAGCAGCAAGAACAACAGCAGCAACAGCAGCAGCAGGGGTCGCCAAGCAAAGCCGGGGAGGGCGCCGGCGGCGTGCGCGCAGACGTGGCGGCGGCGGCCGCGGCCGCGGCAACGGCAGCTGCGCCTGGGCGCCCGCGGCCGCAGTCGCCGTCGCTGGTCGCCGGGTTGGCGCAGGCGCTCTTCGGGATATCATTGGATGAGGAAACCGACAGCGACGGCGGCGGCGGCGGCGGGGGGGCTGCGGGCCTGCAGAGAGACGCCCCAGACCTTGCCCTCCGCCCCAGCGCCGGCGCCCCCGGCGCCGCCGAGGCGTCCGCGCGCCGCCGCGCCGCGTGGCGCCGCGGCCTCGCGGTCGCGTCGCTGCTGCGGTGGCTGGACGAGAACGACGTGCCCTGGCGCTTCGTGGGGGGCGGCGGCGCGATCAGCCTCGGGGGCGGCAGCGACGACGACGACTCAGACAGCGACGACGACGACTCAGACAGCGACGACGAGCGCGGCGGCGGCCGCGGGCCGCGCGGCGGCGGCGGCGGCGGCGGGCCGGGCGGTGTGCCGTATGAGGATGCATTCAAATCGCTGCGGGAGGACCTGAAGCGGCTGCTGCCTGGGGACGACGACGACGGCAGCGGCGGCGGCAGCGGCGGCGTCAAAGACAGGGACGGCCGCGGCGGCCCGGGGGCGGGCAGCGGCAGCGGCGGCGGCAGCGGCGGCGACGGCCTGCTGTCTCGGGGCGAGTTTGATCTGGTGATTGAGATCGGGTCGGGACCCGAGAGGAAGCTGATGCGCATCAAGGTGGACAGGGACATGCGGCCGTACAGCGGCGGCGCGCAGGCTGCGGGCGCCGCGGCCGGCGCAGATGGCAGCGGAGCCAATAGCAGCGGCGGTCCGGGCGCGCGGGGGCGGCGGGGCATGCGGGGACC